CAAGGAAATAATTCCAGCCAGGTCAACAGTCTTATTAGACCCTGGTGTAGGGAGAGATCTTACGTACCTGCAGCACTGACCACGCCCATTTGGGTGTGGTCACAAGTATGTGGGAGAAGGCATAAAGAGCTAGGAGGAAGGGGACACTCCTCTCTTGGGGTTCCAGTCAAGTCTCGGAGACCAGCAGAGTGCTGACCTTAGGTTCTCAACTTCTCATGCAATGATTTCTCCCTAATAACGTATCATATGGCATCCCTTCCCTGTATACTTTGTGTAGCTTAATATTCCTTTTCTCTCTGGGATTAACAGGAACCCCAAAACATGAAAAATAATAAACAAATAGGTCAGAAAAATGCTTACATTGCCACGTTACTTTCAACACAGCTGAGATACAAAAAGAGGACCATAATAACTACTGCAACTGAAGTACCAATGCATACTTGTCGCAATGGCAATATAGCACAAACCAGAGTCCTGTGGAAAGAGGTAGTCTCAATTCAGTAGTTGACACGCTGAAGTTAGCCTCTGGACTCACTATGGGACATGATCTATAGTAACAATTCATAGAGCAGGGCCAAATCTATGATGGGAAATAATATACAAAGCAGTTGAAGTTGTACTATAGGAGAACATTTGCTGAGCAAGTCAGAAGAATCATGTCAGTAAGCAACAATCCTCTGTGGTCTCTGCTTCAGCTCCTGCCTCCAGGTCCTACCTTTTCTCCTGTCTTGGATTGCCTAGGCAATGGGTTATGAATATATATGATGAAAGATACTGGATCTTGATCCAATTTAAATACGCTCAGTGCTTTATCATACCCATGAAGAAGCAATATAGAACACTCACACACACACACACATACACACTGAAAAACAAAATATCATGCATTCAAAGGCAATACATGCACACTAGAATCCTCAACTTAAACTATAAGCACACAGAAGGCAAACAATAATCTATTTAAACACACAGACATTAATGGCTAACCTACATGAGTATGTCCACCAGGAATAGCCACATGGTTAAAGGAAGAAGCAGAACTTTCCTTGAACACACAAAGTACACAAACAATACCCACTAAATCATGACTTGAGAAGATGACCTGAAGATGACCTATGCACTGAAGGGATTGAAAAACACACCTATGAAGCCACAGGAAGAAATAAACCTCATTAAAAGAGTACAGAAGCAAACAATTGTAAGGGCTTTGAAACACACTAGAAAATTCACAAGAAATAACATTCATCAATTAATTTGAACTATCCTGTGAAAAACCTCAAGCCTAATCCTGATGGAAAGACATTTAGGCTTCCTGCAGGATTTCTCTTCTCTCTCTCATGACAAGATCCAATCCCAAAAACTCATCCCTAGCTCTGTAACAGAACACACTTGGAAGTCTTGACTTCTGTCCCTGCTACCATCTCCTGTGGATCTCACAGGTATGTCCCTTGGGCAGCAAGTAGGCAGAAGGGAGACCCACAACTTTCAGAGATCCAATGCTCCCATGCTCATCCCAAGTTCTGTAGCAGGAAATCTGCTGCACTCTCACATTTCTCTCTTACCCCATTCTCAAGAGATCACAAGAACCCCCTCCAATATTCCCTTCCCAATACTGACCCAGTAGCCCAGTTTCAACACATACAGACATTCCCTGTGAATACACCAACGAGCAGGACAAAAAACAGACAAATGGCAAAAATTGAAATCTCTGAAATCCCCAGAGATGAAACTTATTCAAGGAACAAAGCATTTATTTAGCAAAAACAAATGCAGAAATATGTACCTCAAACTTATACTTATCCCAAATCTGGATGCTTAGAAGCCAGCAGAATGACAGAGGGTGATATATCTCCTGTAGATCCAAGATATTATTGTACCAACTGTGCTGAATATTCCTACATAACTCGTGCACATGCCAAGCAAAAACAATATAAAATAAGTCCAAACAAACAAAAAAACCATTAAATACTAATATATAAAGGTCCACATATAAATCCCTTAACCAAGCTCAGGACATGCAAAAATCCAAGCACACACACAAACAATACAAGATATCAATGGAAAATGTTCAAGACCTGATTATGGAAACAGAATCCATAAATAAAATGCAAGCTGAGGATGCTTTGGAAATGAAAAATGTAGGAATCTGAACAGGAAGTACAGAGAAAACATTGCCTAAAAGAATACAAGAGAAGGATGTGAGAATCTTAGACTTTGAAGATATGATAAGAAAAATAGATACATGGGTCAAAGGAAAGGTTAATTCCAAAAAGATCCTGACACAAAACATTAAAAAACTCTAGGACATTTTTAAAGGACTAAACATAAGAATAATTGCATTAGAAGAAGAAGAATCCCAGTTCCAAAGCCCAGAAAATATTTGCAATGAAACCATAGCAGATCATATTCCTAATCCAAAGAAGGAGATGCCTGTCAAGGTACAAGAAACAGATAGAGCTGTTCCGGCTGCAGCATCAGGTACAACAGGCGCTGCTTCTGGGCATGTGTTCCAGTGCCTGGGGATCGCCTGGGAACTGCACAGAGCTTCCAATCCCGGCGGGAGCCAAACACCCCAGACTCCAGGACTTCTCTCCCACCAACAAGGCCAGGAAACCAGAAGAGCCAGGGAGACCAGGAGAGCAGCTGTTCCGGCAGGATCAGGTACAACAGGATCCAGCAAAGGGTCCAGGGGACCAGGTGGGAAGCTAAGCGCCCCAGATTCCTGTTCTTCTTCTCCACCCATGGGACCAGAACGAGGACAAGGAATAGAAGAACCACCAGATTATTGGACTTGCTAGCACCCACCAAAAGGGAACTCTGGTCCCCAGACCAGTAAGGGGCTCTTTCTGCACCCACTAGAAGAAGAGATGGGAAAGAGACAATACAAAAACACACTCAGCAACAGAAAAACAAATATGACACCACCAGATTCTAGAGACTCCACACCAGCAAGACTCCAACATTCCAATGCAAACGAAGCAGAAGAGAATGACCTTAAAACCACTCTCATGAAAATGATAGAGGTCCTAAAAGAGGATATAGGAAAATCCCTCAAAGAAATGGAAGAAAAAGCAAACCAAAAAATGCAAGAAATGGAAGAAAAAACAAAGCAAAAAATGAAAGAAATGGAAGAAGAAACAAACCAAAAAAGGCAGGAAATGGAAGAAGAAACAAACCAAAAAATGCAAGAAATGGAAGAAAAAGCAAACCAAAAAATGCAAGAAATGGAAGAAAGAACAAACCAAAAAATTCATAAAAGGCAACAAATGGATGAAAAGATAAACTGAAAATTGCAAGAAGCAATCCAAACACTGCAAGGGTTGAAAACTGAAATAGAGACAATAAAAAAAACCACAATCTGAAGAAAGGCAGGAAATAGAAAGGCTGGGCAAACAGTCAGGTACTACCGATACAAGCATTACCAACAGACCACCAAATTGCCTGGAGCAGAAGAGAAATTCCATGGACTCACAATACAATAAGCACTGAACTGATAACAAAAGAAAAGAATATCAAACGCCGAAAGGACATAAAGGACCATGTAACTAGAATTACAATTAACTTATCAATAGAGATACAAAGAGCCATAAGGGCACAGACAGATGTGCTACAGATTCTAAGAGACCATAGATGCTAATCCACACTACTACACCCTATACAACATTCAAACACCAGAGATAGACAAAATAACATATTCCATCATAAAGTAAAAGTGAAACATCTATCTACATATCAAGCACTGGAGAAGCTGCTAGAAGGAAAATTCAAACCTATGGAGGATAACTACACCCATGAAAACACAGAGAAAAAATACATTCACACTGGTAAATCCAGAGGAAGGAAAACACACACATAATCACACAAGCACACAAGCACACACACACACACACACACACATTTATACACCAATTAGAGCATGAGGACTAACAACAACAATAAAAGAATCAAAACCATTGGTTTTAGATAGCTCTCAACACCATTTATCTAACTTGACCAATACCAAGATAAAGACTAACAGAATGAATGTGAAAACAGGATTCATACTTCTGGTGTAACAAAGATACACATCTCCACATCAAGAGTAGACATTACCTAGGTTAAAGAGTAGGAAAAAGATATTCCAAGGAAAGGAACATATAGAGCATGCAGTTTACACACTTTCATATCTAACAAAACAAATGGACTTCAAACAAAACTAATGAAAAGAGATAGGGAAGGATACTACATACTCACTGTGGTGCTTTGATTAATAATGGATGGCTCCTCTAGGTTCATAAGCTGTGGCACTATTAGGTATTGAGTCTGTTTCCTTGAAGATTCTGTCTCTTCCCAAGTTTCTACCTTACTGAATTGCAGGGTTGTGATACAAAGTTTCTTCCCTGTAGACTAGACATTCTGTTGGGCTGGACTCAGTACATACTCACATGAGTTACTGCTCTGAATTTTCCAAGAATACAGTTCATTGGGCGTCTGGAGCTAGCAAATCTCTGACTCAGTGGGGGACTTTATTCGTGGGTGAAATTATTTTTATTTTTTAATTGAACTATATATTATTCCACACACCCTCTTCCCTCCTCTGCTCTTCTCTTTCACCTCCCCCCTGCCCAGTGGGGTCTTTTATAAATGATGTGTTTCAAGGGACTGGAGAGAGGGCTAAGTGATTAAGAACATTCGCTGCACAATCAGGAGGACCAAACACATCAGACAAAGCCAGTTACATCCTGACACAAAAGCAATAATAATACTAAGTAAAATCATTTGGCCAGGCTGTGTTGGTGCACACCTTCAATCCCAGCACTTAGAAGGCAGAGGCATGTGGATATCCATGAGTTTGATGCCAACCTTGTATACAGAGCAAGTTCCATGACAACCAAGCTACACAGAGAAAGTCTATCATGAAAAAAAAAACTATTGGCCATTTGTCCTAATGAACATGAGAACAAAAATTCTCAAATTGGCTATACATTTATAGTCTTTATTATGTTAAGATATGTTCTTACTATTTCTAGGTTCTTCAGTGTGAATTTGTGCACTCTCAGATCTGTTGGGACTGGCTCTCTGCTGGGATTCAGCAATAACAGGGATCACCTTGCAAGAACAGTGAGGAATCCGTGTGTGCTCTGTGGCTCCAGAAGAGAGTGAATCTCCTGAAAGTGGGGAGGGGAAACTTTAAAAACTACAATGCATGGGACAGACAGAACTCAGCTTAGAACAAACAGGCCTGCCTCAGCTAAACAAAGCAAGATCATTTCAGGGGAGAGAAAAATGGGGGTGAGCTCCTCACACTGTGTCCCCCTACATACTGCCTTCCTGCAACCATTTATGGGAATCCTTGGTGGGTGGGGTCCAGGGGATCATTGAAGGAAGCAAGCTACTTGTCCCTAGTTTCATCTACCAGAGATAAGTCAAGTTACCGGAGGCTCTGTCCTATTCAGAAGGAATCTTATTATCCTTAGGAGGTAAAGTGGAACCAGTGGACACAGTCTGAACTCAACCCACCCCACCCCCAGCTTTGATCTTTACCTACTACCTTGTTCCCCTTCATGTCCTGACTTTCAGTGAAACAGGCTAAAGGGGACATGGCAGGTTTCTTATCATCCTCTCCAGAGGCATTTGCATTCTAGAATATGACCGTGAAGAAAGCTGGTAACCTCTGCCTGATGGAAGGACTCTCCCCTCTGCTACTGGCATCTTGAGCCCTGCAATTCCCTAGAACAAGAACTTGCTTGCTACTGCCCTAACAGAGAAGGAAATCTGGTGTGTTATGGTGTTCTCTGGAATCACACCACGTAGGAAACTACCTGAGCATAGCCCAACTGCTCAGTCATTGCAGTACCCCTTCACAAAAGCTGTCTGCACCCACACACACCTCAGCTCTGTGGATCCCTGCCTTAAGGCCCTCTTACAAGAACTTGACTCCCATGGTGATGAGGAGGGAAAATAAAAATCCCAACAAAATGGCACCAATAAAACCACCATATGATGGGGGAATGTCCTTCTGTATATTTGTTTCTCTCATTGGTTGATGAATAAAAAACTGACTGGGCAATAGCCAGGCAGGGAGTATAAGCAGGGCCAAGAGAGGACTGAGTAAGGCGAGAGAGGGAAGCCTCAAGAGGGATTCCATGTAGAGACCAGGAAGATGGAAGGTGCCTGGCACTCTCTGGTAAGATAAGGTTATATAGAAATACATAGTATAACAGGTTAACAATTAAGACAGAGCTAGCCAATAGGAAGCCCTAGCCATCAGCCAACACTTGATGATTAATATAGCATCCATGTGTTTATTTGGGGCTGAAGGGGGCAGACCAGACGGAACAGAAACCTCTATCTTCAATCATACACATACTATGTGCCAAAATAGATCAATAACCTCACTTAGCAACAATTTCCCTAAGTGACTTCCGCTCCCTCTGTCTGAATTCTTTCTACCTGTTACAAGAACATGACACTGGCACCTTAAATTCCTGATCATGTGGTCAACAATACACAATGGTAGACATATGTATACTGCTCAGTGCACAGACACTCTGGAGATATCAGTGCCCCTCCGTGGGCATAACAAGGTCACAGGGAAGAAAATCCTTTCAAGAAAGAATAACATCAAAAATAAATAAGTAACAGACATAAGATAAAGCCAGAGGGGCAAGTCAACCCCCTTGTGTTCATCACAACAGCCTTGTGTTGGACTCACTACATGTGCATCCCGGCCTCTGGGATAGCTAGCCTCCTGCCCTTCCACCCCCTTGAGCAGCAACAAATTGCTGAATGTCATCTTCTTCTTTCTCTCTCCTTTTAACCTCTCATTCAAGACAGCTGGCTCTGTTGAGGCATTAAATCAAAATCCAGCTACAGTGTTGACACAGAAATAACTCTTATCTGAATGTCGACAGCTCCTTCTCACAGGAACCAGCTGTGATCTTCAGAAGCAGTGGATAGTCCTGATTTTAACAGGCATAAGAGGGAAATCACTCTGACTCAGGGCGATGGCACCAGCTCTGTGTCATTCCTGATGCTACCCTGCCCTCTAGTGGGCATCTAAGGTATCATCCTTAAGACCCCTACAGCTCTGCATGTACAACATCTTCAGGGAAAGATCTCAGAGCTGGCAGAAGATAATTGTTGCTATGCCTTGTGATACAAATCTGTTATCCCACCTACCTTAGAGGTTGGGACAGGAGATCACAACTTCAAGGCTAGCCTGGGCTCAAAATAAAAAGCAAAAGAGGCCGGGTGGTGGTGGCGCACGCCTTTAATCCCAGCACTCGGGAGGCAGAGGCAGGCGGATCTCTGTGAGTTCGAGGCTGGGCTGGACCGATAGCCTCCAAGACAGAGAAACCCTGTCTCGAAAAAAAAAAAAAAAAAAAAAGCAAAAGAGGGTAGGAATTGAGCTCAGTGGCAGAACACTTTCCTACTACAAGAAAGCTGCTAGAGTCAATCTCACAGATAATTGTTTATTCAACAATCAGACAGGAAGTATGCCTGTGACCCTGGGCTGTATTTATGCTCAGTAATTACCATGTGCTTCCTCTAAATATGTGGCTCCCCATGAGAACAAAGAGCGTGGTCTTTAGCTCTTTTCCGGGAACACTTGTTCACCCATTGAGTCCATCATCTCCTCTAAGCAGTTTGATGTGTCTGTCAGAGAATCTTATTCCAGTTCCAGAAGCTAGGACATCCACAATTTTGTCCTCTCCTGGTCTACCCTGCAGTTTCCTACATGTTCTGGCACTGTCCTCTCTGGTCTATTGTGAAGTTTGCTGCATGTAAAGAGAAGCCTTTTCCTTGTCAGCAACTTTGGTTTATCCCCCGCCAGTCTCCTGGGCTCTGCAGCGTTGTAGTCCCCAAATAACACACAAGATGCTGTATTAATTATGAAGCTGTTGGCCTTGCTTGTTTCTTACTGGCTAGCTCTGACTTAAGTATTTATCCCATAATTGTTAATCTAAGTATTTCTCTTACCGGAGAAGTTTCCGGGCTTCTTATCTCTATGGCGGTTACATCTTGACTCCCTGTGTTTCTCCTACCCAGAGTCCTCCTGGACTCCTAGTCCCACCTATCTAGCTTCCATATTGGCCAACAGTGCTTTATTGACATATACACAGGACTTCCCCAACAGCTGCATCTGCACATTTTCGTCTACATTGTTTTTGGATATATTCTTCTATACTCCTTTTTATATTTTAAGTTGCATGTTGCACATTAAAGGACAGGGGAGGCAGGAGAAGCTAAAGGTATTTCTGCCACTCAGAAAACACGTGCCTTTTAAACTGTTGCAAGCAGCTGTGCTGAGGGCCTCTCTTCTGCACAGAAGTAGACTAAAGTCACTCCAGGACTTCCATTGCCTGACGGGCACGTAGGTCTCTTCCTTCCAGCTAAGTGTTAGGATACAAGCAACGCAGGCAAACTTTAGATTTTCCTTCCACTCCTTTCTCTCTCACACTCACTTGCCAGTATTATCAACCTCCTGGAAGCACGTGCAGGGAAATGTGAGGCCTGAAGCCAGCATCCACTTCTCTGAGATGGAATTTCTCGAAAATGGGGTACAAGTGTGAACTGAGTGCATGCCCTTGCAGCCTACCCTTGGAAACTCCTCTGGTGTCCCAGGGATAACTACCAAATCCAAAGAGACTCAAATTTATGTGAGCCTGCCGCAGAAAACCAAAGCAATTTTACTCTGTAGGGTCAGGTCACAGAAAGAAATTTCAGCTAATTTAAACAATCTACTGAAAAAAAAAACTAGTATAGTGGTTCACATCATTAATGCCAGCACTCAGGAGGTAGAGGTGGGTGGATCTTTTTGAGTTCAAGACCACTCTGATCTACACATAGTGAGTTCCAGGACAGCCAGAGCTACATAATGAGAAAGTCTAAGAAAAGAAAATCCACTGAAGCTCGATTGTAGACAACATGGGGTGAAGACAGCCTGAAAAGTGACTTTCACAGGCTGAAAGTCTATGAAATTGCATTTGAAAAACTGACCTTAGGCTATACATGATATGTGTCAAAGCCTCTACTGTTGACAATTCCAAATATTAAAAGGTGGTGTCATTAAAAGGGAGATGCATGTGAACCGGCCTGCAATTTCTATTCCCAGTGTTTCTATTTATTCAGGGCAGGAACGGTTGACCCAGCAGAACTGCCCAGTGTTGAGCTGAAGTCAAGCTCGATAGTAGATCTGTTGCCTAGCAAGTTAGAAACCTGGTTTTCATCCACAACATTGTGGGGCCTAACAAAATAAAGTGAGGGAAGTAAGGTCTCTTTATTATCCAATGGTTTCTGGTGACATTACTAAACTAGAGGAATAGAGACAGCACAATTAAGAGAGCTGGCTGCCAAGCCTGACAACTGGAGTTCAATATCCTAAACTCAATGACAGAAGGAAAGAAGCAACTATTGTAAGTTCTCTTCTGTCCTCCACATACATGGCCTGGGGACATACACACGCATACACACAAACACAATAAATAACCAACCAACCTGACAAATGCTGGTGCCAACATGTCCATGCTCTCTATCCAAAACCTCCAGTTCTGCTTGTCAGTCCTCCCTGTCCTGAGGCCAGTATTTGGATCAAGTGCAAAGCACAGCCAGGAAGTTCAGAATCTGTGCCTTGTAGTTTTGAGGGCACTTTCATAGTGCTGGGTATCATCTGTTAAGCAGTGCTATCTCTCAGAGTACTCCAAGCCATTCTATGAAGCAAGCACAGGAGAATTAACACTCCAAGATCTGAAATGACCCAGAATTCAAAGTGTCTTGAAATACTTTCTAATCAGATCAATTTCAGCTTTAAGTTTTCAGATTAGGATTGTTCAATCAGAAACCCATGCCAATATTCCCCCAGTTCACTAAACTCCAAAGGATGACACATTTCCGGTCCCAAACATTTTGGATAAGATGAGAAATACTCTCTGCCATTCTCATTCAGTTACACACAGAACCCCTAGTCCACTATTGTCTTATGCTTACCTAAGTTCACAATTGTAAGAGAGGAATAGGTCAGTGGTCCAGAGCATGATTTAGGTAGGTCCTTGGTTGATCCTAAGCACCAAACATTATTAACTTTTTAAAGAAAACCAAATGTTCACATATAATAATCTAATGTATGACATAGTAACTATAGTAAATCATATACTCACCACAAAAACATATGAAGTCATTGAGTTAATTAGCCTGATTTCACTGTTTCACAATATATAAGTTTGAAAGTGTAATTGTAAATGTCATAAATATATACAATTTTTGTCAAGCAATCTTTTAAAATGCTTTAATCCCAGCACTCTCGAGATAGAGGCAGGTGGATCTATGAGTTTGTAGCCAGTTGATGTACATAGCCAGTTTCAAGACAGCCAAGCCTACAGAGGCAGACCCTGTCTTAAAAAAAGAGATCAGGTGTACATTATTGAGTTCACATGTTATGAGCCCCCCAAGGGCACTTTCTCAAACACACTGTGATAGATTCTAAACTAGTTGCAGGCCTTTGTAAACGAAACACATTTAGTGTCCATCCTGGTGTTATCCGGTTGCCCTCAAACTCTAAATCTTATATGCCTTACCATGTCCTATACTGCTTAAGATCAAAAGGGCACACAATTATCACCCAAACATCTACAAAGCCTGTTTCTTAAACAAGGATGTGGTGCTATTTGCCCAAGTTTTTCTGAGAATTCTTTTTCCCTTTAAAAGGTTGCATAGTGCTCACTATTAAAAAAAAAAAAGCAATGCCTTACTTCACCCACCGTCCAAGTTAGATGCAGCACTCAAAAGAAATTAAGGGGAGTGTCTGGACAGCACTCGGGCAACCTGAGCAGGCTGGGCTGGGCCTCTGTGTCCCAGATCTACAGCCATGAGAATCACTTTTTATCTTTTATCATACTGTCAGAAACAAATGTTTCTAGTCTCAAGGATGCTTTCTGGGTTAGATGCAGTATGAGAGGCCTGCAAATTCTAATACGCCAGAAGCTGACACAGGAATATTACACTTCTGAGCTCAACTTAGGCTACACAAGGAGACTTGGTATTCGGAGGGAAAAAAAATAAATTAAAAAAGCAAGAGTTCTGAGGCCAAGAACAGCTAAAGCTACTCTCCCTTTTTACTCAAAGGAAAGAGACCCTTAAACAAGGTGACAAAACTACTTAGTAGCTGAAGCAGAAGTAAATCCCCGTTATCTTTACAAAATGTGACTAGTAATATTGTGAATGAATTCTAGAGCAGCCAGGGCCATATGAGTCCCCTGCTTAAAACAAACAAATAAATAACAATGTATAATAAATAAATAATAACAACGAAGGGTTGTGACACATGCCTTTAATCCCAGCACGCAGGAGGCACAGCAGGCAGATCTCTGAGTATGAGGTCACCTGGTCTACAGAGTGAGTTCCAGCTCAGGCAGAGCTGTTAAACAGTGAAAGCCTGCTGGACGTTGGTGGCGCATGCCTTTAATCCCAGCACTCGGGAGGCAGAGGCTGCTGGATCTCTGTGAGTTCGAGACCAGCCTGGTCTACGAGAGCTAGTGTCAGGACAGCCCCCAAAGCCACAGAGAAACTCTGTCTCTAAAAACCAAAACCAAAACAAAACAACAGGGAAAAAAAACCAGTGAAAAACTAAAAACAAAAACCTCCATACCTCCGCTATTTCAGGCGCATTCCGGCTTCCCTAGTCCCCAATCTCCCGGGCGTCCTCTCCAATGACAGCATTTAGACTGGCCGGTAACCTGACTGTGGCAGCCAGGGGGAGAAGAGACCACGAAAAACAGACTCCACCCGCCACAGAGGCGGCCGCTTCGCCGAGCTAAACCCACGGCGCGTGTCGATGACGTCACGAAAGGCGCCAAAGCCGAAGTCTGGTCGCGGTCCATTGATGTCGGTGCAGCTAGTCTGCGTGTGAATTGTGCCTACGTTGTTTCTTGGGCACAAGGGATCTCCCCCCCCCCCCCAGCGGGAATTTCAACAACAAAAAAAGAGTCCTGGTGGCTGAAAGCTGCTGAACAGAGCGAAGAAAGGGAAGGAGTGAGTGAGGCCTGAAGTAGACTTCATCGGAGCGCTCGGGAAAGCCGGCCGACAATGAAGGGTGAGTGGGATGGGAGACACGAAATTGGGACGGATGGCAGTGTAGAGGGTTCGTGAACTGGAAGCTGAATCAGGGATACCTGTCACAACAGTCTCCCAAGACAACCTCCAGGGAATTGACTCCGGAGTACACAAAAGCAATCGAGGCCCCCAGAGTGTGTGCGTGTGTGAATCGGCCGGCTCGGGCTCTAAGCTAGAATAGATGTCAGGATGAGTGTGTGGTATCCCCAGGGGAGCTAGTGCGGCTCAGGAGAATTAGAAGAGGTGCATCCAAGGCCGTTAGCTTGTCCTGGCCCCTGCCTGCCTGGATAACTATTGCTTCCCTCCACCGCCTAGCTTTTCTCCCAGGAACGGGAAATGAACACTGGAGTGGTATTAAAGGAAAGAGAGAACGCTGTAAAGATTAAGCCTCTGATCTGATTATTTTCACCCCTCCCATGTCCTTTTATCAGAGAGCAAGTGCCTTGGCATAACTCAACATCAATATATTCCAAATGGGTTAGGAACATTAATGAGATTAAAATGAATTATACACACTTATGAATGTGTGTGTATATGTATATATGTATGTGTCGCTGTAAATCAGCTACTTGACAAACCAGAGTTACCACATGTGTACTGCAGCAGGAAGTCTTCCAACTCTGATGCTAGGCATCTGGGGTGGGTAAAACAACGTTATTCCTAGGGTCCCTGGCCCTGCACATTTTTCTCAAGAAACAAACTAGAGTCTCAATCTGCAGTTCAAGGGAGAACTAGATTCTCTATGTAAAACTGGGAACTCCATGATCAGACATGCATTCAGGGAAGCCCAAGAGAACAGACATGGGTTTTTATTGGTTGGTTTGTTATTGTAGCTGTTGGAATGAGGTCAGCTATGGAGTCCTGACTGAGCTGGAACTCACTGTGTAAACTAGGCTGCCTTTCCCTCTGAAGTGATGGGATCAGCCACCACACCCAGCTCAGAGATTGAATGTATAGGGTGTAGTGTTAGCTACATATTCTGGTCATTTGCCCTTTTTTATCCCATTTACTCCTAGACTCTGTTCCCCAGTGCCACCATGATGGTTTCCTCCAAACAAATAAGAAACAGGAGCATGAGGTTTAGAGAGAGTTTGCCATCATGCTGGACATATTGTATCCATCTGGTCAGGATACATTCCAATTTTATGGATTCTAACCTGAAAAAAAAATCTGTTTTAAACTCTTGTAGTCAGCAGAATGTCAGGTTTCAACCAAACGCATCCTAGCCATTAACATCTCCTCATTTTTAGTGTCCTCACTACTTAGTGAGCAATTGCCCAAGCATAATTATAACTTGTATTTTAGTCAGAACAACACTAAATGTGCTTCGGTAAGAAAATTTTTGGGGACATGCAGAGTCTAGAGTAGGAACTAAAACCCCCACGTTTTAACAAGATCCCTGTTATCCCTGTGATTCTTAAACTATTTAAACTTTGAGAGGTGCTTTTTTTTTTTAAGACAGGGTTTCTCTGTGGCTTTGGAGGCTGTCCTGGAACTCACTCTGTAGACCAGGCTGGTCTCGAACTCAGAGAGATCCACCTACCTCTGCCTCCCGAGTGCTGGGATTAAAGGTGTGCGCCACCAACACCCAGCTGAGAGGTGCTCTTTTTAAACCTCATCCTGGGAGTTTCCAGGACAAATCTGTCCAGAGAGAAGAGTAAGACCTATCTAGGATAGTTCTGGTGGTACGTGTCTGTTATCCCAGCCGCTAGCACTTGGGAGCCTAAGATAGGAGTACTGGGGGTTTAAGGCCACTGTGGGCTACATAGCAAACTCTAAGCCAGCCTAGGATACAAAGTGAAAGCCTGTCTTTAAATAAATATGGAAATAAGCGGCATGAAGCACTTGCCTGCTGTGCATTAAACCCTGCTGAATTTCGTCTCCTGGCACTGCAGAGTAAGAGAAGGATCATCCCAGAAAGCTTTGCCTTTTCATACTAACCCAGTATTCCTCCTCTGAATAAGTGTAGTTATTGTCATAGTTAGAAAATTATGGTTATTTTACATTTTGGATATTATAGTAACTCCTCACAGGAAGTAATCTTCTATTTTTGTCTTTCATCCCCCAGCTGTGATTTACCATGCCTTTTCTCATAAAGAAGCCAAAGAGCATGATGTACAGGTACAGTCTTTCCAAGGTGGGCTGGGAGCAGGAGACTTCACAGCAAAGATGGCTCAGAGTCTTCTAAGACTGGTCTAGCTGTCTTTTCCAATGGGTTACTCCTCATCTTTACAGTCAGTATGTTAGGCCCCATCAAGGTCTTTTGTGCTGATGTCTTCATGTGCCAGGCTCCTTTCCTAGGGTACCAGCGTCAGCTCTGAGGGACTTGGACTCATTGATTTCATGTCATCTCCCATTCTGTAGGGAGTGACGGTGACAGCCTCTGCCTACCTGAAACCTCTCTTGTTCTTGCTTCTCTGCCCTGTTCCGGTGCTTAGCCCCTTTCATGGGTGAATGTTACAGATTCTGTCTGGGTGTGTCAGCATGCTTTGTCAGTTGGGCAGAAGCTTCACTTGTGGCTCATAAAGAGAGCGTATCCTGCCAGGCTGTGTGGAACATGCCTTTAATCCCAGCACTTGAGAGGCAGAGGCAGGCAGTTGTCTCAGTTCTAGGACAGTCATGGCTACACAGAGAAGCTCTGTCTCAAAAAATAAATAAATAAAAATACACACACAGAAAGACAGAGAGAGAAGAGACTGTCCTTGAAATCAAGATTTTAAAAGGTCAGTAAACCTTTAATTTTATTTCCCCACGAAAGAGAGACCATATATGTACTTAAAAGAACCAAATTATGGACTGGAGAGATGGCTCAGTGGTTAAGAGCACTGACTATTCTTCCAGAGGTCCTGAGTTCAATTCCCGGCAATCACATGGTGGCTCACAGCCACCTTGAATGAGGTCTGGCGCCCTCTGCTGGCATGCAGGCAGAAGACTGTATATATAATAAATAAATAAATTGTCCTGATATTGATGATGGACTGTTTAGCCATCCCTGCCTTGAAGTACCTCAAATATTGTGTATTCTGTCTTTTTACCCCCTCCTTTAGCACAGAGAGGGTGTCAGTCACTGTTGATATGTTGACCTAAAGCTGGCAGTTAGCCTCAGACTTGTTTTTATTGTCTGGTTAGTGCAAAAAGAGCCCTGCAAATGGCCTAGCCAAGAGATAGGTGTAGCCCTGCAAGAGGTAGGTGTAGTGTGATGTTTACTCTTTTATTTTTCTGGGGGGCACACCACCCAGTTCCCAAATAAGTTACACACAAAGGCTTGTTCTCAATTTTGACTTCCCGGCCTGAGCTTGGCTTGTTGCCAGTCAGTTTTTCTTAACTATAAACTATCCCTACTACCTTTTGCCTCTGGACTTTTTCCTTTTCTTACTTCTGAAGATCTTATTTCACTGGGGGCAACTGTGAAGTATTTTCACTCAGTCTTCCCTAGGAATTCGTGTAACTTGATATTGCATGTCCTGTTGTTGAGAGTGAGCAGTGCCTGAGATACACTCACACTTTCTGCCTCAAAGTGAAGATAGAGCAGGCCTTTCCAAGAGCAGCCACATGGGGTCCACAAAGCTGAAAAACAAGGACTGTGGTACTCAGTCGGAATTCTTCCTCCTTGACCTCCCTGGAAGCCCAGGAAGTTTCCCCTGGTGCTGGAATGGCTCCACTTCTTGTGGTCATGACTTATTAAATGACCTGGCTCATCCGTTTCTCAAGCTTCCTTCCCCGCAAGGATTAGAGATTACAAAGGGTTTTGAATGCTCCGTAGAATAACCTCAAAGAAACAGGACAGGAAGTCAGTGTTTGACCTGGCTGCAGTGTGGGACAGTGTCACAGTTAGCATATGAGTGTTGCTGTTACATTTGGCAGTTGTGTGGAGCAAACACTTGGATAGACAGAGAGGTCAGCAAAGTTGATGCTCTCAGGAATGGGGTATAAGGGTCCTGGTGTCTGAGAGCAGAACAGTGAACCACACCACCATGTCTCTGAGCAGGAGCTGGGAACCCAGCGGGCTGAGGCCTTTGTGAGGGCCTTCCTGAAGAGGAGCATACCGCACTTGAGCCAGCAAGATTGCGAGAGCCATCTGCAACGCAAGGCTGTGGTCTTGGAATACTTCACTCGCCAGAAGCCAAAGCAGCAGAAGAAGAAATCCAGAGGCCTCTCTGCCAAACAGAGGAGAGACATGAGGCTCTTTGACATTAACCCAGAGCAACAGAGGTACACCCATCTTTTCTAAAGGCCTTGCCACTCACCATTGCCTACTCTTCCAGGTCAGGGTGTGAACTCCTCAAGACTCCAGGGCCTGACCGGGCAGCCCTGCCCCCTTAGTCTCAGAGGCTTCTCTGCCTTCTGCCACAAGGGGGCAGCCTCACCCTACCAGTTTTCTTGTGCCTTGGCTTGACCTTGGTGAGACTGAGGTCTTTCATCATCTGGCTTCTCTCCTAGTCTCCTCACTAATAAGTGAGTCTGTTCCCATGGCTTTCTAGAAAACAGGAACATCATGATATTCCTTAATACGTATTTTCCTAGAGCTTTTAATGTCACGAGACAATCAAAGGTTACTTCCAAGGAGAGGTCCTGCATATGCATTTCAGAAGTTTCTGAAAGGAATGCATCACTGTCTTGTGGGAGGGTATCTCCCTCCAGATAGTTCTGAGTTTGTGTTTACAACCACAACTTATAGGTTTCTTTGTATAACACTCTGGCCATACAGCCTCCCGTGTCCCAGAAGGCACGAGAGTGCCACGGTGCCCTGGGGCTGCCTCCCTGGGGTCCTTGCAGGAGGTGCTTGTTTCAGATTGGAGCCTGGTGTTCTTGACTCTGACCCTGTCTTTGTGTGAGTGGGCACTAAGACAAATGATAACAACCCCAGAGAAAAGCTTTTGCTCCTCTACTCTTAACTTCCAGACAACCCTGCTACCTTACACATGGACCTGCCTGGCAACCCTCAACTCCTGCAATGGGGGTTAAACAAGACTGGTGTTCATTTGTTCATTTCTCTTGGGAAAAGGAGATAGGGTGAACAGCGCCTAGGTTGTTATGGCTGATGCTACATCGCCACCTTCAGATGCTCTACCTGCTCTGAGCCAGGGGCTGCACCATCACACCTATAACTGGCCACCAGGAAGGGCATCAAGGCAGAGAGCCTCCTCTTCCCTTCTTGAGAGCAGAAATTTAGCCTTGAAAAGGTTCTACCAGGGAAGAAATTGAAGTCGAAGGAGGGGACTGCACTTGGCCTTGGTCACATTGGCTTTGGGGAACCTAAGACCTACACACGGTCTCAAGTCCTCCCTCAGGCTCATTCTCAGCCTGGAGCCCAGCTCTGTTTTGCTGAATACTCCCAAACTCATGGTTCTAACTTTCTACCTGTTTCTGACTTTATGACAGATACAGTCTCTTCCTTCCTCTGCATGAACTCTGGAAGCAGTATATCCGTGACCTGTGCCACGGGCTCAAGCCAGACACGTGAGTTCTATTTCTGAAGCCTGACATGGAGTAGAGCACTAGAGAGGCAGCCTGAGAAACCAGCTGTCTGTGAGTGTTTGTGATCTCTTTGCTTTGTTACCAACTCTTCTTTGTGGCTCTCTTCACCTCCTAGGCAGCCGCAGATGATTCAGGCCAAGCTCCTAAAGGCAGATCTTCATGGTGCTATCATTTCAGGTAAATTCTATGGAGCACATGGTCATCTGCAGATTATTACTCAGTGGCCAGATTCAGCTTGTTGCCTATCACTTGGCATCCCTGTGGTATCTCTAAGTTACAAGCACTAAGGATCAAAATGCTTGTGACCTGACCCACCCTGGGCCCTCGTTAAACACACACTAATTGGTCTCTTAGTATTATCGGCTCACACTGTTGGCACCTAACCTCTTAGCTGGGACTCTGGGGCAGATTCCCTCTCATCTTGGTTTCCAGGGCGCCATCACAGGTGCAGACCTTTCCTGTAATTGCCAGACTCATTCACCCCATGGCACCCAACAGCTACTTGGACATCCAAGATGTACCTCGAACTACCTATCCAACACAGAGCCCTTGGTCTCCCCTGAGGTCAGCTCTCTCCGACCTGGGTTCCTCATCTGCGATAATGGCAGATGATCTCTATATCCAGCTTGTTCGGGCTCCAAACCTAGGAAATACACACACATTACCTCTTTCCTGATCCTCCATCCACCTCACGTCAACTGACACACCCACTTCCTGAATCTAACCTACCTCCAGCTCCCTCGAGTTGCTGTGGAAGCTTTCCTTTCTCTCAGCCTCCCCCAGCCCACCTACTGTTTCATTCCCACGTGAACACCGGATTAAATGCCCAGAATGAAGTCTGTCGTCAGACACCAGACTGCCGGCTGCCGTTTGCCTGTTCTAACCCTCTAGCAGCTTCCCATCCACTCAGAGTAAAAGTCTTCAGTGGCCTTGGGCTGGCCCCTGTGTGACTTGGATACCAAGTGCCTTTGCATGGGTCCTTCTCTCAATGAGGGGCTCTGCAGGCTCTTGTATTGACTCCTGCTGTAACTCAGGTCCCTTTCCTGATGTCACTTCCTCGGAGTCTACCACCATTAAAGTTCCCCTCCACACTCATTAATCTGTTCTTTTCTTCATAACCATTATCAGTATCAAGAAGTAGAATCGCCCCATGTTTTGCTATACACTGTCCTCCATGAGAGCTTCAGCTCACAGGAGCAGGAGACAGGCCATCTCATTCAGTGTCCTGCCCCAGCACCCACCAGGCAGATTCTGACATAGATTGCTCCAGATGCTGACTGCATGGAAGTGGGCAGGGGCCTGCCCGTGAGTGACTCAGGCCTCATTGCTGGGCAGCTCTGTAGAAGGACTGCATTCCAGGAAAAGTTCAGGAGACCTAAAAGCAAATGATAGATGTCCTGCCCATGGCGTTTGCCTCATTAAAGCAACAAAACTGGGCTTTGTTGGTTCTGCATATGACCTCTGGGATCCAGAACCCTGCCCAAAAGCCAAAGGACGCCTAAAAACAGCCAAGAGATTGCAACGCCCAGGACAAGGAATTGGGAAGCTTGGGCTCTTGCTGGCTTGGTCATTGCCCAGCTACGGAGCCACTATCCTCTGGGCACTTTCTTCCTCAGCTTAGAAGGGCCAGGTTCCTAGTCCCTGAGGCCAGGCTGTGAATGCAGCACTACCCAGGCCTTATCCTCAACTGCTTTTCTCCTTTGTAGTCACGAAATCCAAGTGCCCCTCCTATGTGGGAGTCACAGGAATCCTTCTGCAGGAGACCAAGCATGTCTTCAAGATCATCACCCAAGAAGACCGTCTGAAAGGTGTGTGCTGTGTTCCCAGGGTGTCACATACATATCTCCCTTCCTTGTGGTTCCCAGGTTCCATTTGGTTGTGGAGTCTAACAGGCTGCATGTGCTTGCTGTTTTATTAACCCTAGAGAGAGGCCCCTGCCCTGTGACTCCCAAGAGACATCTGTGAACACAGTCAGCAGCCTGTCCATAAACAGGACAGAGGAACTGCTTGACTGGGTCTTGGGCCCAGGTCTGTTTGAGGCCTCTACCTGCCACGGTCACCACCTCTTAAATGAGTAAGGGACAGGCAAGAGGAACCAAAACTGCCTGTCCCTGGAGTTCTGAGAACTGCACCCTTGCTGGAGACACTCTTGAGTTTTAGCATGGTTAGCACTGCTCCAGTGGGTACTTTTGAATCTTCCAATATCCCTGTTACCTAACCTTGCCCACAAATCCAAGATTCAAACAACAGATGGCGGTTTGTACTCATCCATCTGTTGACGCTGGAGATGAAGCCCAGGACCTGTCTGCTAATCCTGTTCTCTACACCTGAGCTACCCCACAGGCCTGCTTCATTGTTTGTCTTATAAGTCTAAGGTGGGAGTGTAGAAGTTTCCCCACTGAGCACAAATCTGAGAACCAGTGCAAAACTGTATGGGAAACCGGCTTTGGTGGCCTGGGAACCTTCAGTTCTGGGAATTGAGTTAATTACTTCAGAACCTGGAAATTAGGCATTGACTTTTATTTAGACTGAATCAAATAGCCCAGGTCTTCCTTGGGTATTCTGGCTTTGGCTCTGCATTCCTATATACTTCTTTTTTTAAGACAGTCTCATTATTTAGTCCTGGCTAGCTTGTAACTTGCTGTATAGCCTAGGCTGGCATGAACTCAAGAGATCTGCCTGCTGCCTGCCTTTGTCTCCTAAGTGCTGGCAGTAAAGGTGTGTGCCGCCACACCCATCTCACTTACCTTAATGCAAACACGTATGAGTAATGCTCTACATAATCTGCCCATGTTGTTCCTCTTCCTTTTCTTTCATTTTCAGTTATCCCCAAGCTAAATTGCGTGTTCACCATCGAAATTGATGGCTTCATTTCCTACATTTACGGGAGCAAATTCCAGCTTCGGTCAAGTGAGAGGTCTGCCAAGAAGTTCAAAGTAAAGGGAACAATTGACCTGTGAACTCTTTGCCACTGGAGACTGAGATGTCCCTGGCAGCTGAGAACTGGAAACACCTTAAGTGCCCGCTTATCCATGGAGAGCGTTCTGGCTGTGATTCGCCTCTAGTCCACAGGAAGCAGAGTGGCGGAAGAACATTGAGCAACACAGAGGAAGTCAGAGGTAGAGATTTGCCTCTCCGGGGAGGAAAGACTAGCAGAAAATACACCGGGACTAACCTTGGCTGATTTGAAGAAGGGGGCCGATAGGTTGTATCTTTCATTCTTTTCTGTGTTTCACAAACATTCTGTGCTGAATCCATTACTCAGTTAATAACAAAACACATTACAGGCATAAATGAAAGAATCAGTCTTAAACTTCTGGGTTGAAAGGGAAGGGGTTATTGAGGCTCCCTCATCCCGTGGCCACCTACCACCTCTTGTTGCTTTCTGGATGTCATCCCTGGTCCAAACTCTGATCTGCCTACAGTTTACTTTGCTGGTGTCACACACTTAGGCGTAGTGAGCTTGCTAGATGACTCAGTGCTTCATACAGCAGTGAGAATGCAGCAGAGGGCCAGGTCTGCCAGTACCTGTTGGCTGCTGTTTGGATACAGGTAGGCAAGCCTACCAGCAAGCTTCTTGCTGTATTCATATGGTTCCAGAGGTAGGCCAACAGCATGTCTCTGATCTAAGAAGGCCATGTCTCCAACAGTAATACCTTTGGACATCTTAGTTCCATTTTTGCTGCTGAAATTGTAACTTTTCTACTATGTGAGATCAAATGAGGTCTCTCTGCACAAGGCCATTGGAACTGCAGGTCAGGGCTAGCATAAGAAATGGGTGGGCTCTAGTCATTCTGTGCCAGTATTCAGGAGGTCTTGTTGTTGAAACCTGGTTGAGGGGCCAGTTGCCCCTTGCTTGTAAAAAGTGAGTGTGCTTGGTGGTGGTGGTTCACACCTACAATTCCAGCAGTCAGTAGGGAGAGTCAGGCATATCTCTCCAAGTTCAAGGCCAGCATGGTCTATAGAGCAAGTTCCAGGACAGGCTCCAGAGCTACACAGAGAAACCCTGTCTCAAAAGAACCAAAACAAGCAAGTGTCTGCTGTCAGGCTCAGAAGCTCCCCCTGGCAATAGAACACATCCAGTCACTCACCCCAGGTAAGCAGTTATGCTGGTGCTCAATTCCTTGGTGCCTCCCAATCAGACTACACTGGATGGAAGAGGAATGAGTGAGCCTGGTGTTCTTTATATGACTGAGAAACAGCCTACTCCCTCTCAGAAATCAAAGTGCACCCCCAAATCCTAGAGATTATCCAGGCCCTGGTTCTATCTGCAACAGTCCTCATGTCACTGCCATGGCCTACCTGACCCCCATGTTACCACACAGTCCTTGTCACCCAGGTTTGCATCACACACGAACCCTCAGCCTGAAAGTGATCGTTGCCCAAGGTCTCATGGACTGGGGAAGAAAGGCTGAGATCTGAACAAGAAGGTCTGGCTCCAGATCATGTTCTTCCCAGCAGGACAGCTACAGGGAGGTGAAAGAGACTGCTGAAAGTGTGTATAAGTTCCTTATTTATATGTTCCTTATTTGAGCTGCTGTTCTAAGCAGCTCAAAGTGCATGGTTGTACTTTGGAGCAGACAATTTCATCCCCACCGCTCTGTGAGGTGAAGAGCACAAACAGTTGCTTCCCTGAAAAGCTGCTGAAGCCACTTACTGAGTGCAACATTTTTCTGCTGACCGCACTCGAGTTTCCATTGACTAGCTAGGGACAGTCTCTCTCAAGGGAGACAATGTGGTGCTCACCTGCCACACAGTCTGCTCTTTGCCTTGTCTGGGATGTGCTGCTGCTGTCTCCCTAACCTCCCAAGGGGACCAAGGTCCGCAGCATCCTCCCACGTACTAGTCCTAGGGAAACTGTACTTGGTACTCATGGAACATGACTAGCCAAATCCCCACAGCTTCATGGAGAGTAGCTCTGTCACCATTTGTGAGATTTGGGGTGTAGAGAATCATGTGTGACAACCAGCTCTGTTGAATGTAAACCATTCACTAGAGAAACTTTAGCCTCAGGAAGGGTGCCATAGAAGCCAATGGGAATAGCAGTTGGCACCTCAAGAAAGGGCTCAGACTGCTGCAGAGATTAGTTTCTACTAAGGCCTCCTCCTGACTGCTCAACAGCCACCTCTCATTGTTCACATGGTCTATCCTCAAGAAAGGGGAACTCTAGTGCATCTCGTTGAATTAACATCTCATTTATCCTTAGTTACCACCTTAAATATCCTATCTCCAAACATAGTTATATTGGAGGTTAGAGCTTCAACATGGGAATTTGAGGGGGGTTAGTATACACCTCAGTAACAACTGAAATATTCCTAAATAGAAGCAGTTGGCTGTACCTCCCAGGAAGGTAGTAACATCCAGCCTGGATCCCATCCACAGACAATGGCCTGAATATCCCTGGTGTTTCTTTGGTGTATGGTATGCTTGGGCTACCAGCCAACTCAGCCTAACTGCTACAACCCAAGCTCCCATTTTGAATTTCATAGGCCTTGACTTATCCAGAGTCCTGGAGCTGTCAGCAGCCAAACTCCTCCCTCTTTGTTCCACTGGGGCCAGCACAGCCAGGTTGTAGATGTGTAGAATGCCGGGGTGGTTAATGTCAACATGACTGGATTGAGAAATGCTTTAAAACTGATCTTCTCGGTGTGGTTCTGAGGAATTTGCAGAGAGGATTAGCTGAGATATAAAATCCACCCTATTCGTGGGAAGTTTCATTCCCTAAGTTCAAGAGCTGTAAACAAGAAAAGAAAGCTGGCAGCCCCACAGGCATCCTTGCTCTCTCCACATCTTGTCTGCCGTGTGTCCTGTTTCACTGTGCCCCCCTTCCCCCAAAGATGGCAGAAGCTATGAGCACAGTGATGCCTTCCTTGTCACGTATTTTATCACAGGGCCAAAAGTCTAACATGAAGGATGGGCAGAGTTGGCTCCTGAGGAAAGCTATGGGATATGAAGAATCCAGTCCCAGCCAGGTTCAGAAGCATCATAAGGAACCCAGGAAATCAAAGAACGGCCTGGAAAGGTCTGCCTGCTGTGCTCCCCACCAAGTAGAAGATGTGGGAAAGGGACCAGTCTCAATCCCATAAGAGATGCCCTAGGTTGCACCCAGCTCATTAGTGGCCAAGAGATGGCAGGAACATCTGCTAACTTTCTAAACCACAGAGCAGGATACACAATTCTGATCAGATGGTAATCTGTTGAATGGGACAACTAGATCGTATAAAGGCCTGCGAGATCAGGCTCCTGGGATTCCTGCACCAGATTAAACAGGCACATGTCCGCAGCAGTGGATCCTATGCAGCACTTCAGTCATACTGAGTCAGACTCCAGGTGTGACACCTACCCTCCAGTCACCAGCATTTGAGGATGGTACATTCAGATGGCATCTAAGACTCTTCCAGTCGTGATGTCTGATTTGACCATAGATTCTTGAGCCAGAATGCTCTGGATACTGAAGGATCCCCCAATGACCAGTCTTTCAGGTTCTGAAGAATGAATGTGAAGATTCTTCCACGAATCCATCAATTAATGTAAAAGGCTCACTTTCTGGACAATGTCTTTAGCATTAATTTACTTTGCATTTCTTAACTATAATGCCTCATTAAGACATCTGTTAAATGTCATAATATTAATTTAATAGAGGGGGCTCTACTAGAACTGTATTGGGATTGTCCATTTAATTAACCTCATAGGCCTCTAATGGATGTCTTAACTAGACATCATTACCAAGAGTGCTAGACAAATTAAAATTGGAGTCAATAACATCCTTGGTAATTTCTCACGAGCTGTGAAGGACAAGCATTGCTAAGTACGCAAACACAGAGATGGACTGCAAAGGAAATGTGTTGGAGCAGCAGGAAATCCAGAATGGACAGGGCCCTGAGGGTTCACCATTCCGTGCCCCAGGAGATGACAAAGAAAGATGTTTCCCAGCCACCTAGATAGCACTCAGGAGCAAAGGCCTCAGCCTTTATATGTGCATTTACGGAAAAGATTTCTGTCATACTCCATCGGGCAGAGCTCCCAGGAGGGGAGGAGTGTGGAAGGGAAGAAGATGGGGACAAAGGAAGGGATGAAGAGAGAGAAGCTTTAAAGAGAGGGGAGGGTTGTGACATTGGACTGTGGACCGGGCACAGTGGATCTCACTGGGATAGGGCAGGTTGGCTGGGTGGTGGTTGGGATGGTTTGAGATGTAAACACTGCATTGCTGCTGTTCCACCAACCTCTCACCAGTTCACTCATGCGGTGCATCTTTGCAAAGCCTAAGGCTGTCTCCATATTCCTCTCATTTGACCTCCCTCCAATCAGCATTTAACATGGGTAACCATTCCCCACCCAGGAACTCCTCCATCCCCACCCTCCTAACCTTCCCAACCTTCCTGGCCACTCCTTCTTAGAGTCCTTCAATGAATCTTTGTAGCCCAGACATATGCATATAAATAAATAATAAAATGTGTCTTTTTTAAATGCTCCAGAAGCTGTGTTATCAACAAAAAGGAAGAACAACAACAACACCAATTATGATTAAGGCTTCTAAGTGCAAGCTTAGCAGTTATCTGGAGTGATACAAGCATTGCCCTGGTAATCTTATGCCACTTAGGAGGACCCAGGCTACTAAGGGCTTTTGCCTAAGAACTACAAATTCAAAGCAAGAAAACATCAAATCCTAAGGATTTCAGTGTGTCACCGAATACAGTATTTTATTATTTACTGCCACCTCTCAAAATATTGGCTGTTTCTCCACCCTGGACCTCTGGAGGACAGGGATTCAACAGTGTTTCAGTCACTAGGGTGTGGTTGCCTTGAATCTTCTGGTCCCCACCCCATAGGCCATCCCCAATTTAGTGAGTAAGGCAGTGAGTGGTGAGGAAGGCCATGTGACTATGGAATACAAGGAAGAGATATACCTATGTCCCGTAGGAACTAACATTAGAATGAGGTCAGACATCTACCATACAATAAGGCAGGCAGGAAAACTGGCATGGGGTACGACCTAGGGAGTACCCAGATTGGGTGCAACTGAAAGCTTCAGGCTATGGGTGGTCTGGGAAGAAGTCAGGGCAAAATGGGCAAGAGTAGAGGAGTAGACCAGAGAGACCAGGACAAGGACCACAAGACCAGTGAGGAGATAGCCATGGCCTGTTAGCGATATCTGTAGCCTAGACCGGGGTTAGCTTTGGAGGCTGTCTTAGTTAGGGTTTCTTTTCTGTGACAGAACACCATGACCAGAAAGCAAATTGGGGGAGGAAAGGGTTTTAGTTTGGCTTGTATTTCCATTTTGCTGTTCACCACTGAAGGAAGTCAGGACAGGAACTCAAGGGCAGGTACATGGAGGCAGGAGCTGATGCAGAGGCCATGGAGGGGTGCTGCTTACTGGCTTGCTCTTCTGACTTGTTCGGTCTCTTTGCTTATAGAACTCTAGGCGACCAGCCCAGGGATGGCACCACCCACAATAGACTGGGCCCTCTCATTGATCCCTGATTGAGAAAATGCCTGAGAGCAGGATTTCATGGAGGCATTTCCTCAGCTGAGGCCCCTTCATCTCCAATGACTCTTGTGTCAAGTTGACACACAAAACCAGACAGTACAGAGGCACACAGGAGCATGGTTTTCTGTGTTGTTTGCAATTCGGGGAACTAAGCCCCACCCTTGAAACTCCAAGGTGAACACTGTACCCATGACCTATATTCCCATCCATTTTTTTTTTGACTGATTGATTGGCTTTGATTTTTTTTCTTTCAATGGGATCTCTACCTTGATAGAGTAGGCTGGCCTGAAATTTACTATATAGATCAGGCTGGTTGGAGAATGCCAGATCTCCCTGCCTCAGCCTCCCAAATGCTAGGATTATAGGCAGACTATAGGCATATTCCACCACAGCCTCTCAGAAACTGTTATGAGGCATGAGACTAGCACCCATGAGCAAGGTTTCAGAAGCAGTCTCTGCCTCTTTGAACCTCCATGTGCCCACAGCCAAGTGGTCCAAAGGACATCGGGCTAACTAGGGCAGACATGCATTGCAGGTTGTTAGATGGAGAAACTGGGGCCAGCAGGACTGAACAGGTGGGGATAGGCCTGCATCCAAGAGCTCACAGAACAGAGGAGTGGGAAGGGAGGCAGGAGAAGCAGGTCCCAAATATCAGGATCAAGGTGGGCACAGTTGAGAGGTACCAGAAAAGTGGGTCTTTGCCTGTCTTTTTTTGTGACCTTAAGCAAGTGACCATGGCCCTCCTGGTACCTCAGGGTCATTTTTAAAATAAAAACTTTGAGTGAGGTATGTAGGGCATAAAGTTCTTGTGTGTGATTTCACCCGGAGTTGTGGCTCTCCAGCACTGACTTCCAAACCAGGGACCAGGAACTTTCCAAAGCTGTCCCTGCCACAGCAAACTCCAACTAGCCCTAAGTACACACTGGTAGCCCATTTGCTAGCCAAGGACACTGATGCATCTACCTAGAATTCAACCACGAGTGGGTCACATGGCTGCACCTCTTCCCAAATCATCTGTGTCTTCAGAAGTTAAACTCCCACTGAGTTTAAATCCCCATTAACAAGAAAGAACCAAAACTGTTTTCTGCCAGGCAGGAACCCTGCCAGCTCCACGCTCCTCCCTGTGTTTCCTACAGGATTGATAGACTGCAATAACCATTGAACAGGCTATTATCCGGCAGCCTAATTAATGTAACAGATAGTTACAGTCCTCACGCTGAAGCTTATGGTCCTCTGTGGAGTGCCTGATAGCTGCGAGGGGCCCCAATGCAGGAGCTTTTTATAGTGGCAGCCCCTCCTTGGCTGTGTTGAGTAAGACATGAGCATAGCCTTAAATAATGAAGACAGAGGGCCTCAGGGGCTCCTGGAGAAGGGCAGCTGGAGCTGAGTCTGGAATCTTGTGGCAGCTCAGTACTATGCTGGCTCTTTCCTTTCCGATGCAGAGTCTCTGCCCCTCAAAACACATGTGGCCGTGTTCAGAGGCTTCCCTGTGGGGCAGACAAAGGAAGTGCTTATCCCCCAAATCCCACTAGGTCCTCACACCTGCATCTGTGCCTTCTCTTGCTTCCTCATCCAGGCTTCCTTTTGTCCTTTGGCTCAGATGAAGCTGCTGGAGTGATCAGGGTTGCCGGGTGACCAACCAGGGTAACTGGTCACTGTGCTTCAGCTTGGTTCCAGAAATGAGCCTAGGATGTCTTTCTGCCTTGGACCTATGTCTTCACCTTTTCAGACTGCTGTCACAAAACAACCACACATCAGGTAACTTATAAAAAAAAAGAAAAAGAAAAGAAAAAAACCTTTTGTGTGGCTCTGGATGCTGGCATGACCAAGGTCAATGTTTCGAAAACTTTGATACTAAGTAGGGCCCCATTCTTTAAGAATGATGTCTGGCTAAGACATGGCCAAGGTTCAATGCGGACTCTGGTGACTCTTTCAAAACAATCTATATTCTTTCATTACCACAGCCTTCATAAATCATTCGGCTCTGTAAGGCTGTAGTGTGGGGCATGCTTGTCATCCCAAAGCTTGACAGACTGAGACAGGAAGAGCATGCATTCAAGGCCAACCTAGGCTACAGAGTGAGATGCTGGCTCTGAAAACCAGGGAATGTGGCAAGACTCTGGGTTCCACCCCTAGCACAGAGGAAGATGAAGGAGAGGAAGACTATGAGGAAAAGGATGGAAACAGGGTCAAGTCCAAGTAGATACTCATTATAATTTCTGTCAAATTTCATGTTTTTGAATGGGTGGCTCCTAACACTAAGACTTGTATTTTGAAAACAGTCATGCCTTCTCATCCTAAGTATATCCACTAGATCCCAAAGATAACCTCAGCCACACACTGAGGGACTAGACAAAACCAGAGGCCCCTGCAACCTGAGCCCAGATAGCAGGGGTTTATATGTTTCATGACCTGCCATGATGTATCAGAGACTTTGAATTCTGAGAAGTCTACCACAGTCTTAGAGCTTGCTCCATGCAGGTGTTTGGTGAAAGTCCACAAAGCTGCTGTGATCAGGCACTTATGGGTCCCCTCATGGGCCATCATTTGGTCAAGCTGTCCTTCAAAGAAGTTTCACTGAACATCCCACCAGGATCTGTCTGTCTCGGCTCGCCTTAAAGTAAGAGTGAGTGCCATGGGCTAATGCCTCCAAACTAGGTATCATGACTTCGCCATGTCTTGTCATTAAGATAACAGAGGTGGGAGTTGGAGAGATGGCTCCATGGTTAAGAGCACATGCTGTTCTTCCAGAGCACCCAAGTTCACTTTTCAGCACCCACCCACTGAGTGGGTTAGGACTATATGTAATTCCAGTTCCAGAGAATCTGACACCATCTTCTGACTTTGAATGGACATGCCACCCATAAATTCATGAAGGCACACATGCAAACATTCGAATAATAAACAAACACTAAAAAAAAAAAAAGACAGCAGGGGCAACAACACGTTTTTTTAAAGAAATGAGATAGACTATGTGATAAAATACGAGTACAACTAGGCAGTGGTGGTACATGGCTTTTATCCCAGCACAGAGCAGGCAGAGGTAGGCTAATCTCTGTGGGTCTACAGAGCAAGTTCTAGGACAGTTCTAGATTGTTACACAGAGAAATCCTGTCCAAAAACAAAAAACAAAACAACAACAAAGAAAAGGTAACCCTGACTCAGAGTCATCTAGAGGCTAAGAATGTCAGGGAACTCTCACAGTGTGTACCCCCCAACTATCTCAGCTACATTCACAGACTGTGGAAGTCTCTGTGCTAGCTCAGTCACCACTCACCACCATCCAAATGTCTACTGTAAAGCACTCATGGATATCCTAGATTGCCTACCAGGGATTAGCTTTAAAATGGACATGTGACCCTATCTTGAACAATAGGAACAGGTGTAGCAATTTTTAGCGTTATTTGCCCAAATTTTCCTGATACGTTTGTGTTTGAGCTGGACCATAAAACCCTACCTGATACCATGAGCAGAAGTCATGTGTGTCATTTGAAATCTACAGCATCTGGAGGCCAGTGGGAAACTCTCCACAGCTATGCTCCCTTTGCTCCTCCGCCCTATGATTTTCTGCAGTCACCTAGGAGACAAGCCTCCAGTCCTACTGTGAGGGGTTATTTAACCTCTGGGAAGGACTGGGAAGAATCATATTGATTGGGCTCCTTGAAGTGGGCAGCTCCATTCTCTGGCCTTGGGTACAGCACTGTATAAAAGTGAGAACATTAGCTGAGCACAAGCTCAAGCTCCTGCTGCCATGACATCACACCGTGATGGACTGTGCCCTTGAACTGTGAGTCAAAATATACCTTTTTTAAGTTAGGTTGTCTCTTTCAGAGTACCGTAGCAGCGGGAAAAGTGTCTAAGACAGCCCCTTTATTGACCTTACCATAGCAATCAACAGAGAAATACAGACTTTTATTTGAAGCCACTGAAGCTTTAGGACATTTTCTTACTGATGTATAACCTAGTTTATCCTGACTAT